TAGGGCAGGAAATGGCTTCAAGGGGGTTTTAGTCAGTAACATATTACCAAAGAATCCTCAACAGAGGAAAACTCTGGGAAGGTATGACGCCTGTTTCCTCTTCCAAAAACCCATGAAACCACATCAGATTTCCTCACTGCAGAGATCTACAGATAAAGATTTCCTTCGCCAACAGCAGGAGGTGTCAGGCAACCATGGAGATAAGAGCTGTAGGCTTTAGGACCTCTGGAGAGTGTCTAGCTGAGTCCAAAGGAGAAAGACTGGAGGATTTGGAAAACTCTGAGGAGGCTCATCCTGCTGAGGGAGGAGGGTAGGGACAAGCTGCTACTCAAGTATCAATTTTAAAGTTTCCTGCGTGTCTTTAACTTTTCCAATGTGGGCAATGCATTGTTTCTACTAAGAAGGCTTTTCCTTCAGCCGTCTTTGCCCAAGTGTTTCCTCTGTACACACTGTTTCTGAGCCATTAGAGTGAACAGCAGAGAAGAGGCCAGCACCGTGCAACCGGACACTTAGGTCCAGACCTCAGAATAGCCCCAGCCCCGACCTGGCCCCGCCCTTCCCATCCGATAGGTTTTCATTCACCCCTTCTCTGCAATTACAGCTTTGAACTCTATAATTATTAACAAATGTTTACCAGGCCCCGCCTTTTTCTTTAGAACACTACCTTCCTGCAAAGCACATGAATAGAGAGAGCATCACAATGTCCTCTATCAAAAACTAGCTTAAGTCAGTATGATTCCACATCTGTAAAATGTTGAGGTCCTGACACCTGACAAAAACTACCATGTCATCGTTTTAGTCCTTCTATTTCCAAATCATAGAACAGGACAATAAGAGGAGTTTAGAGAGAGAAGTTTTAATGGTTACTCTTTCTTATCACTCCAAATATATAAGCACTGTAAAACTGAAAATGACCCTTGTAAAACCAAACAGGACACCAAGGATCAGATAGAGACCTTATCATACCACTTGGCTTTAAGTGCTGAGAACAAAATACTAACTAAAACTATAAGCAGAGATTTGAGAATGATATCATTTAGCATGTGCTTTGCTTAGTTCATAGTCTGTATTGATTCATTCTAACAAGTATTGGCGATTGTGCACTCAGTCCCAAATGCTGCCCTACACTTCCAAAATGTATTTCTATGAAAAGCCCTCATGACAAATTCCAGAATTTGCAACAGTACTCTCTTTCTTGATGGCCATCAGGGAGTGGGGGAACTTCTAGAATTATTCCTGCCTACGACAGGTGGGAGAACACTTCTTGTGGGACTCAGCTTTTAAAGTGGAGGGAAAATACCAAAACATAGCCTTAACAGCTTTGAGAGAACACTGACCAAGTTCCAGAAGCATCAACATTTCAGACCATATTGTCCTGCTGTTCTTTATGTTTCCTGAGTTGCTAGTTGGATTCAAAGTTAAGGAGAGGCCCCTCCTCATGAAGTCAGAGCTGCCAAGGCCACTGGGGAGTTACCTAGCCCAGCAGAGCCAAGGCCTTATCTCAAAGGATAAGGTGGAGTTTGCTCTTTTCCCCTATTGCGAAATATGAGAATATTAGGTAATCTGTTTATATCACACAGCTCCAAAATCCAAGCTGACTTTATTTTTTAAGACAGGGTCTTCAGACTGCCCTTGAACTTCTGATCCTCCTGCCTCAGCTTCTCAAGTGCTGGGATTACAGATACACACCACTACACCCATCTCCAAGCTGTCTTTTTTGTAATCCATACAATTTCCTCTGGGGGAGGGGGGAGCTACCTCAAACTTGGCTTAACTGACAAAATCTGGCAATTCCCCCTGTCTATGCTTGAAATCAAACCCAAGTAGTTGTTTCCCATGGTCCAGGTTATTCTGGCAACATCGGTTTATCATCTACTGACTAGAGTTCCATACAGAAGTGCCAAGGATAGGCTTAGGTTTTTGGTCCAGAGCAGACATCTGTGTGCGAATCACAAAACTCCTTCTACAAGTTGATACACTTGGCGCTCAACAGGCACTGCAAAGAAACTTCACACCATGTAAGGTAACCAGAGAGGGAACAGATCTATAAGCTTCCATTTATTTTTCAAGATTAAAATTGGCACTGGGTTTCCTTTCCAGGATGCTATATCTAAGCCACTAACACACAAGGGACATTTTATGAAAAGAAGGTTCAAGTCTTTAAATATATGTGGCACGGATAAGTTTATTACCTAAACAAAAGATGACTCCTCTCCTGACTCACTCTGTTCTTGGTGAATTTTATAGCTGATGGTTCTCTATGAGGATTTGGGGAGGAGGATTAAGTGTTACACCGCCCACTGAAAGTAAAGTTGAACAAGGTGAACTGGGGGCATGCTCTCAAGTCTCAGCTACTGCAGCTCCAGAACATCATTAGAATTCCAGGGGAGGACCTGGAAATCTTCTGGCCTCAAAAAACTGAATCCAGGCATTCCAAGAACTATTTTTACTGTATGAACATGTCAAAGTAACTATAGCTACTGGACCTCAATTATCAAAACTTATGGAAATTACTAAAAAGCAAAGTTTATAAAACTTACTTTTGCAAGATGTGTTGTAATATACTTTAGTCATGGTCATCTTAGCAGGAAAAGATGTAATTTGCGGGGTCAAAGGAAACATAATTGGTAATTTGCAGGAAGGTATTTGAGCTCCTTGCCCTTTGAACTCTCCATCCTCAAGCCACCGCATTAACTTCTACTAAGTGTGTCAAAAACCTAGCTATTCAGGAAGTAACATGCTGTTCCCCATCAGTAAAGCCTTTTTCTATGAAATTACAAATATGAGATACACTCACAACCTTGAGAAATGGATCCCCATTTAAAAGTCAACCTCCATCAAAAGTCATGACAGCCATCATCCCTTCCCTCACTCGGTCGCAGGGCCCACAGATGTGCCAGGAAACCTTTGTCCATTTCAACTTCGCCACACTCTCACCCAGAGCTGACACCACAGTTAAGACCCCCAACTCTATTTGATGAAGCCAGCTGAGAGAGGAGAGGGCCAAGTGGAAGGGTATTGAGGGAGAAGGAATTAGTTCATAGCTCCCGACCCTTCTACGGCAGGAGTGCCTCCACCACAGCCACCATAAGAACCACCATCCTGAAGGCCTACAACAGACGATGTAACATGCCCTGAGATAAAAGGGATCAGATCACACACCAGCCAACAAAGACTGACTGTCACGTGGATGTCCTGTGAGAACAGAAAGCCCAACCTTCGTTGTCTCGAAACCAGCACGCTTCTTGAACTGACCCTGGCACTTCTACAACCCTCTGGTTGCCTTTTTGCTTCTCTCCCAAAGAAAGCTGGCTACAGAACCATGTGTTATTTATATTACCATTTATACTGTGATCAATAGATTAATTTTCTGCGTGAAACTCAAGGGAAATAGTTCGGGAAATACACTTCTTGGACAAAGCTTTAGGAACCTGAGTGCAGTCATCTGCTGCAGTGCTGTGCTGTTGATCCAAAGCATCTTCAGGACGGGAGATTTACATCTCCTGAGAACTCAGCCAGGACCTAGTTCCCAAAGCAGAATGTGTGCACACTGTGCGTCCCCATGCCCAAGGCTTTCTCACTCTAATTGTTCTAAAACAATAGAATTTTCATCAAGCCTACATTATTTCTTCTGCTCTCACTGGATGGCTTTAGTCCCTCTTTTACAGTCAGGGCTAACGACAGTGACTGCAATGAAGTTTCAGCAGTAAAGAAAAGTTTTACTCTTTTGCCTACCCCAACTTGGCGTTTTCCCATAGTCACGTTGCAAAAATGCAAGGAGCCCATAAAACAATATAAAAGAAAATACTGCAGTTTCCGTTTTCCTAAGAAACTGAAGCATCAGATTCTTGTTAGTCAGCCTCGAGTGCTTAAGTGTGGGAAGTCAGGGGGTGGGGCAAAGAGGGCACCAACCTTCCAGAGGGCAGAAGAAACTCACTAAAGAAACATGAGAAAACAACTTAACAAGCAGCACCCTGGGGCTGCTCCCACAGCACAGGCTCATGAACACCCTCGACCTGGGCTCCAGCTGCTTGAGGCATTGCTCCAAAGCACACAATATCCACCTTCTTCTTCTCAGCCTCACCATCCTCCTTGCCAAGGCTTTGGGGGGCATGAGCTACCCAAAGGGGCCAGTCAGTCCACAGCCTCCAAAAGAGGGAACTGTCTCTCAAGTGACATTCACAAGAGAAACTGGTCACATCATTCATCTATGAGTTTCCTTTGGTGCTATCTATAACCCTGACTGCCGTACGAAATCTCAAACTCAATACCAATAATAGACTATACATCTGTGATGCCTCCACATTGTTACTTCAATACATATTAATGAAGCCTTGCCTTCCCACTACCAATCAAGCAGCATCCCCCGACGTTACTGGTAAGTCAGGAGGTGAGTGAAGGGAGCACACACTGAAGTGTGTCTGCAGAGATAAAATAGAACTCTGCTTCGGTTTTAACAGGCACTGGAAACATTAGTGAAAGAGGTTCCGAGGAATTTTTAAATCGAAAACGCTTGCCTGTGTTTTGTGAACGAGGACTCGTCCATTACAACCATTCTCATCACCCTCAGCTTAGACCTGCTTTCCCTACAACAATAATTATCGTTCTCTCCTTCGGCAACATCTGTTTCTCTCCTCTACAAGCTACCAAAAAAGGAATAGTAGAAGGTGCTAACGAATTCGTTTCTATAGATCTGGCAGCTCCCTGGAATTATCTAGTAAAACATTCATTTCTGGCGGAGAGGCAAAGCTAACACAAATAACACCTTTTTAAAAAAAAAAATGTCACAGGTAAGCCCCTGCCGACTTCAATTCTGAGGGTCCGATGAAGTTCTGAGAATTACTTCCCATGCAGAGGCAAAATGCAGAGATTAAAGAAACTCCACCGGCAAGATTTGGCGTTTAACTTTGGAAGATGTAAGACGTATGAAATATATGAATGATATTATATACAGAGTACACAGAAGAAAACACACACCTTCCCAGACCCAAAGGGCTCACCTTCTACTTCTTCTTCATCACACACATGTTTAAGGAACGAAGCCCCTCTGTCCAGGACAGCTTCATCCTCCATCCTGTAGTAATAGAAAAGAAAAAAAGAACGCTCAGACTTCTCCTGAAGTGAGCCACTTGAAGCAGCCCAGCTCCTGGGCAGGTTAACCTGAAAGCTGTTGTTCATGTTTGCAGGGCAGAGTCCCTCTTCCTTTGGTGGCTGTCACTCCTTCACGCAGCTCTTCTCATTTGGTGCTTGAGAATGTGCTGGCCCCACATAGCTTCAGTTCTAACCTTGAGAGGGCAGCCACATGAAGAGGTGAGAGAAAATAATCCCAATCTTGTAGGCTGGATGTTGAGGGAGATTCTCCCTTTGGGGAGTTGCAGAAGGGAAACACAGAGATGAAAGCAAAAGAAGAAGAGGAAAAAAAATACCAAGAGAGGAAGTTTGGTGTGTCTGGAGTGTTCGTGACGATCGCTTGTGGAAATCCAGTTTCAGTACTCCGCTCTTTAAACACCGACTGCACAAAATGTATACCCTCACAGGAGCACATGCACACCCACCCACACACACAGCGACAGGGAGTCAGGCTAATGCACAGTGGGAACCTAGCTTGCAGCCAGCCTCTTAATACCAGCCCAGGATTCTGTGTTGAGTGGCAAGCGTTGAGTCACATGTTGGCCTCACGGAAATCTGACATCTGAGGATTACCTAGCACCAGGGCTTCGGTGGGCACATATGCATGCCAGCCATCCATTCACTTCCACACTCTGATCACGCGTCGCTCTGTGTGCTAGATGCACTGTTAACTCTCCTCTGAAGGGCACGAAGTTCTGCATTTTGTAACCATGCTATGCTGTCCTCCTGTCTCCTTACATAATAGAATCTACTCTGCAATTTCATATGCTAAATAAGACCTCAGAATCTATCCAAGGAACGACAGCGGGTTTTTTTTTTTCTTTTGCAGTCTCCTCCCGGTGCCAAACATGTTTCTAGTTTACAGAATGAGTGGAGCTTTATTCCCTTACTCTGTGGCTCCTTTCCATTGCATTAACTTTCATATACAGAATTCCATGAACTCTATTTATAGGGGAAGCAGAAAGAAACCCTGAACTGCTCGAATGCTGCTTGTGTAGTACGGGTCTTGTAACAAAGAACTTTCTCTGGGGACAGCTGCTCTGTGTCATCCCATGTCTGAGCCTTGCCAGAGAACCACATGTTCACTCTACGCTCTAGTCATCCAGTTAAATGCTAAAGCACTGGATACGGTTGAGTCTGTTTTCCGCATGGTCTGTATAACTTACTCTGGTGCTTCAGGGTTTGCTATAGTCTAGGTAGAGGTGCACTGAATTCAGTTTCCCTTCCTCCATTACCAAGGCATCACCTTTACATAAAAGGTCAGATGCAAAAAAAAACCAAAAATCTAATTCCACCACTTAATAATTACGCCACCGGAAGCAAAGTACTTAACTCTTTTGAGCCACAGATTTTCTTGTATTTTCTTGTATAAAATTAGAACAATCATATCAATTTCACAGTGATTCAACACAATACTCTCAATTGACTGCTTTGAGATTCGAAAGAGGTGAGGTGCCAGGTGTCAAAGCATTCGGCACCAAACTTATTTGCACACATGCCTTTGTTTTATAAATGTGGTTCCCTAGACCAGCAAGGTATCTCAGCAGGTAAAGGTGCTTGTCTCCAGGCCTGATGACCTGAGTTTGAACCCTAGAACCTACACAATAGACAGAAACAACTGGCTCCACACATGTGTTGTGGCATACACAGAGACAGACAGACGGAACACATATACACAAATAGTAACATTCTTCAGTAAGTTTGTTTTCTTTCCTTTTTTCCCCTTTACCATCCCGGGCAAACAATGTCATTAAGAAACTCATTACTAGTCCCCGGCCATGCCGCCCTGATGGCACCCCATCTCATCTGATCTCAGAGGCTAAGCACGGTTGGGCCTGGCTTGGATGGGAAGAAATGTATGACCTTTGGATTCTTCAAGAGTCTTCTCTGGGGGATATGAGCCTCGTACATGATGGCTCACCCCGACACATGTCAGGATACGTTTCCTCTCTGCACTCAAACCAAATGTATAAAACCCGACATGGGCCAATCAGCAGGATTACAGTGGGAATGAAATACCTTGAAGGCTATGAAGCCAAGCCATTTGCCACTCTTGCTGAGCCTTAGGTTCCCAGGAAGATTAAAGGATACAGCGTTACTCATGGGTTCAGCAAGTATTTAATTACTGCTTGCTATATTCCAGTTACTCTTCAGAGGGAGGGGAACAAATCTACAAATAAGACAAAAAGGTTCTTAAAAAAAAACTAACAACGAACAGAGGAACAAGATAACATCGAAGAATAGCACGAGGGGCCGTCTAGCATAGGGCGATGCTGATGAGCTTCCGAGGAAGTGATTTAATTTGGGACAACGTAGCTGGGTGAAAAGGCAGAACAAGAAAAGGGACAGCAAATGACAAGGCCCTCAGGTAGGAACGTTTAGCACCATCCGAGAACTGCTGTAAGGTCTGGACAGCAAGGGGGTCAACAATACAGATGACAATGGAGAGAGCTGGGTCATGCAAGCCAGGAAAGGAGTCAGCATTGATGGTCTGAACTGTTTTCACCTTTCATAGGATCGCTCTACCTGTGCTGGGGAAAACTGACAATTAGGGAACAAGAGAATTCGCATACTACCAAAGAAGCAAGGGGGCTGTGTGAGAAACAGGCCACTGGGAAGGCATGGAATGCTCACTTTGCACACTTTAAGGTAGAAACATGCATCCTGTGCTTAAAAAGTTGCTGATATGATCACAGCTGTCTGAGTCTGGAACTAGGGACTTGTAGCTGGTGCTAAAATGTGGCAAAATTCATGCATCAGGCTGCGGCTGAATTTATTACCAGATGCACTCATGCAGGAAGGGAGAATCGGTACAAGGGAGTAGACCTGAGATCACCTGCTAAAACACACCAACGCCCCCAGGTCAGGCAGTGAGGCAAGGGTAAACGGGGCATGGGTGACATCAGGGAAGTCAGAGAGAGCAGGGAACCCCACCTGAAAGCTGAGGCAGACAGGGATGGAGAAGCAAAGGTTGGATTTGGCAATATGGAGGATGCAGCTGCTATACTAGGAGCTCTTGAAACAGGTCGTGCTCAGTGTTGGGGAGAGAGGAACAGAGAGGGTGCTCGCCTGTTCCCTTTTCTCTCTCCTATCTCCCTCCAGTGAGGAGGAGAGCAAATATGAACTGAGTGTCTATCATGCAACCTACACACTTCCAAGTGCCAGGGATACACAACCACATTACCTTCTCGAAGATGTCCCCTGGAGGTCAGGGAGCAGTCCAAAGTGCAAGGGGCCATTAGTTACCCAGCATTTGTACACACAGATAAGAATGACAGCTTAATGAGGGTATTTTCTTAAAACTCCTCAGAAGCACAACAAAAATCCCAGAGTGTTGCCCTGCTGCACGTCCACTAACTGTGCACCATGCCCTTTGGAAAATAGGATAGTTTGTCCCTCATCTCTTCTCAGAAGTGACCCCAGGTCGGTGAGCATGCCGAATTCAACACAACTAAATGTAGACTTCACTTTGTACCCTCTCACCCATCGGGCAGGCCCTAAAATATTTTGTTGTCCCTTGATATATTTCCTAAAGAAAACATCTAGCCTTGAAATCTAAGCCTTTCCCAAAATTGCATGCCACAAGCAAAAGAAACGGAAAAGCAGGAAAGCCAAAGACATTGGAAAGGAAGGTAGGAAAGTCAGTGCATGAGCCCTCTGGCCAAGCTGAGCAAACTGCCCAGCCCTACTGTCTGAGTAGGGAGTGGGGGTCATGATGGGTGCATTCCTTGGCTCTTTGATGCATAGTTCACATTCTCTTCAAGACTATACATAGCAAATCATCGGATCTTGGTTCTTTCGGATGGATCATGCAGAGCGTCTGAAAACAGGCCTCTTCTGGGGGCAGGGGGAGGGGGCACTCGAAGCAAAGTGAAAGCATAAAATCTGGCAGCCCTGCTTCTGCCCCAAGAGCAAGGTCATCCTGGAGAACTTGGCCTTCTACACGGACCACAGAGACTCCCCCCTTCCCATCCATCTCTACATGACAAATCTCAGTTAGTTCTTCAGTCTTACGTCCTCTTAGCAGTTGCAGGCTATTATTAGTAAGACAGAGATACCATGTAAAGTGGCTGACCGAACCATTTTCCCCTCTATGAATCAGTTGGAAGAAATTAACTCATCCAGTCCCTAATCAGGGCCCCAAATCCATCCTTAAAAATGTCCTTTGCACGTGCCCCGTATTTTCGCTGAAAATGAACAGGAAGTACGCTTCCACACAGCTTCAGCACTGCTCACAGCACTAACATGAGGCAGAACTCAGACAGACTTGGAAGCTCCTCACCAGCATCAGGGGGTTAAGAGTCACACCAGTCATTAGAAAAGCCACTTTGGTCCAATGCTGCCTTCCTTCAACCTGGGTTCTGATCAGAGAAGTTACAACCCTTCTATACAAGTCCAGACCCACGGGAGGGATTTTCTTATTCTCCGTTATTCTGGGATAGCAAAATGATTTAGCTGGAACACATATCAAATTGTCTGCCAAATGGGCAGGCTCTCACCAGCCGGTCCTAATCACTTTACAGGCCTGTGAGGGTGACTTAAGTCCGGCACGAGAAACATTTGTGCAGAACTGTCAGCCACTGGAGTACCGATCCACATTCCAGCCCTCTCAGATCCCACCCCCTGAGCCTGTGCCAACTGCCAACGTGCTCACTAACTAGTACTCACGGCGCAAGCAGCTGCCACTCAGCCAGTCAGCAAGTGGCAGGCCGCCAGCACACAAGTTTCAAAAGCACCAGCCTGCTAGTCACAGTGCTGTTAAAGGTTGAAGGTCTTCGTAAGCTAGCCTTTAGATTCTCCTCACTTGCCCTCCTGCGTCCCTCTACCATCCTTCCCTACTGCAACTCCCACGGTAGCAGTTCACTTGTCTCTATGGCAACAGCATCTGGTTTCAGAGTTAGAACTTCATGCAGCACAGTTCTCTCTTAGCCCGGGGCTTTTGCC